ATCTTCAACGGTAAGTGGCTCAATGCCTTCTTGCTGTTTCCTAAGTTTAAGTACGAGCACTTGCAGCCGTTCATAGACTTGCTTAGGAGGGGCGATGGGCTTTTCTACTTTGACTATAAGTCGGGGTATTATCCACGTGGACCTGCACGAGATGTCACGCACCTTTGTTGCTGTTGAGTGGCTCGGTAAGTTCTATGAGTTTTGTGTTCTGCCTTTTGGACTAGCCCCAGCTTGCTGGGTTTTTACCAAGATTAGCAAGGAGCTCGTAGGTAAGTGGCGGGGTCTCGGCTTCCGTGTGCACCCGTACGTGGATGACTTTGCTTTTGCAGTTAGGGCCTTCTCTCTCACGGACCCCGCGACCCTGTCTGTGCTGAGCCGTATTATGCAGGATGTGCGGGAGGCTGGCTGGCTCGTGGCCGAGGCCAAGTCACAGTTGTATTTCACCCGTACCCTAGTGCATATTGGCATAGGCATAGACCTGGAGGGGGGGGTAGCAGACAGGCGGCATCTTGACTTGCTGCTGACCACTAGCCGGCAGAAATTAGACCTTGGAAATCCCACAGCACGAGTTCTTCCTTAGCGGCCGGTATATTTGTTGATCTTGTTGTGTGCATCTTGTGATCTTTGCTAGCCACTAGACTTTCACATTCTCATTAGATGTAAACTCTAGTAGCTAGGGTGGTGTCATGCACAAGCTGTAGGTCCACCTCTAATGAGGTGGTGTGCTGGATATGTCACCCTGACTGTCATATTTGTCAGGTGTCATATCCGGTGTGTCATTCTCGGTGAACCTGCTTGTGTCCTGACTAGGGTATTTATTCCCTTGTATTATCTATTATTGAGTTCGTTCTATCTCGCCGGGAGCGTTCTCCCCGTGGCTGCTGTGCTGTTTACAGCAGTCTAGCCTACCTGTGACACAACGAGTGTCACAGTACGAACCTACAGATCAGTCAGCAGTCCAGAGTTGGCCTAGGGATCTGTCATAGGGGCTTGCACCGGGACTCCCGGTCAGGGCTGCCTATACAGATTTCAGCAAGGATTAGGCAGGGACGAGATACTTTTGTTCCCAAGAGTTTCTCCTAGCGCGGCCGCTGCGCGGCCTGCGACACGCGAGGGTCGACGTTACAGTTGATCGAAGAGGCTCGGAGAAACTTATGGACCCCAGAACGTTACAAACCCTAAGTCGAATTTAGTCTATAAGCTCTCGGAACAAGAGATAGAGTAGTTCTCGTGTGTGTCACCACTCGATCGACCGACCGTTCCGTTCACGGGTGCAGTTCGGCACTCCGCGAAACCCTAATAAGACACTCTCGGTATTTTCGATTATGGTATCTTTGTCCTCACAGCGCTGCGCTGCGCTGCGCTGCTTGACTTTGTATACGTTCCGCTGGTCGATGTTAAATTGCTCAGATGAAGATTTCCTCGCGGCTAAGGATATAGAGTGGGGTACGGCACCCCGGAAAACTGGTCTCGGAATTGGATTTGGACCATTGGATCGACCGCTACGAGCGTTGACCGTTCCGTTGACTTTTACTATTTAGACCTAATTTTTCCAGCAAATTGATGATTCCTGCGCAGGCATCTGTGGAAGAAGTCTTCACTCACTGAGAGCATATATGAGCTAGGGATATATATCCCTTACATATATATGCTCCCAGTGCGTATGGAGGTTGAGTTTAGCGCGATTCGGGTGTGATCCCGTACTTCCGGCTCAAGGAATAGTACGGGTTCACACATTGAGTCATGCAATTTTGCTAAGAAAGTGGGTGCGACGTACACAAGTTGCGCAGTATCAATTTCTTGAAGGTGCTGCAACTTAACGTACGTTCGTATGCCTTGCCATCTATGCGGATGGTTGCCGATACCGGCTTGTGCCCGCTTTGAGCACAAGCCGGGATCGTCGCGTTCACGCACGTAGACACCGTGCGGGCTCATCTTATGATAAATTTTACCTTAAAACAGACCCCAAGGAACAATAAACCGAGGGCAATCAAGGGCAATCAAACGCCTAAGACCGATGAAAAATTTTCAGGGAGGAGCCTCAAAACCGGAAAACCCCTCTTGGAAAATCGCGTTCAGATCTTCACGTAGCGAACCTCAGAGTTTCCAGGCACGCACAAACCTCATGTTCGCATGTTCAGGAACATGTTCTAATATACAAAAATGTTCAAGATAGAATAACATATCCGTGATATATCCTTGAAAAAGGTGCTGAACAGCACCGTTCAAGCAAGTTTGCAGAGCGCTTCTGGAGCTGCGCAAGGTTTTCAGGCCTAAATCTGAGTTTCGAGATCGCGAATTTCATCGCGTTCGATCGGAAAACCCGACCAACGGAATGTATACTTTGTCACCGCTCCAGTACAATCGCTCTTCAACCCTCTACGTACGCTCACACACAGTCACTCGACTGATGTACTAGACGATTTCAATCACTAAGAAAATTCGCATACAATAAGAAATACGTCATTGAAATTCGGAGAGTTGTGAGCTCTAGCTAGTTCCTTCCGCTTTCGCTGCTGAGCGGCGTGGATGTCAACGTGATGTCAGACGCTGTGTCAGCACGAATAAACTATGCAGCCATTCCTCTCATGACGCAAGTTAACTGCCCAGGTGCGTGGAAAATAAAAATTTCGGTCGTACAGTGTGGTACCCTGTTGCGCGCAAGCACAAACACGAACTGTGCACTTCCCAACACCAGTTAAGGCGGGTTTTCCGTAGGGTCTCAAGTTACCTTGTTGCTGCAGTTTATGCCTCATAAAACTGTTTGCGCCGTTCTCGACAAATCTTTCTAATGCGTTGTTTCACTCGTGGCTGTAATCAGGATGCAGAGCTTTGGTGAATGCACCCGTCGATCGTCCAATACTCTGCCCTTTCTGCAAATTCGGAATCAGCGTGCGTAATAGCAAGCTTCTTGACTAAAGCATTTATCCTTACAGAAGCAGTCGTTCGCTGTGTTGTCGCAGAGCTATGTGGATTTTGTCAAGTATGGCAGTGTGCGCGCGTTAGATATAATCTCTTGCATGCTCTGTATGATAACTTGACCTCCGGAAGCATCCAACCGTGTCGAGAATTGGAGCCCCGACATCAAGCTTCGTACATGGAATGAAGTCCTCTATGCAGCTCCTTGCGCGGGGTAATACGGGAATTGGGTGGTACGATGTACGCCGATCGAACGAAAGGCGGTTCAGGTGTATACGTAAGAGTCACTAAACACACGTATTGTTGAATAAAGCTGAGCGGATGTGCGGAGGGTGTCGCAGAATTTCTTCTGCGAGTACGAATGCGGCTTTAGTGGAAACTATGCCGCAGTTGTCGCGCACGAAGAAGTCTGTCCGAGGAACAGGACCTTGTTCGTCTGTGGTGTTTCTTTTGGTGCCTGCATCATGTGTCCACAAGCTCAAGAGTCAGGCCCTAACTCGACCTCTGAGAGTTCATGTCGTTCTGAGGATTCCGGGCAAATGTCCCACCTTCAAAATCATGCCCTGGAAGCTGCAAGTATACCATCCGAACAGGTGGTTTCCCAAGGCACAGTCGAAGGCACCACAACTCCGGAGTCGACATCTTCCACGGCTGAACATGCATATGTCGCCAGCACTGCGGCGGGAAGTACAGTGCCTGACTCGGCAATCCGCAAAGCTGTACTATCACCGGCCGTTGACATAGCTGCGCGCAATACGGCTCAATCTACAACTTCACTGCTTGACTCGTCAAGGGGCCAGGCTATGCACGCAGTGGCCACCGGCACAGTCGTAGAGAAATCTTCTAAATTTCCGAAGATACCGCGTCTCGCATTGGAAAAACTCAGGACGTAAAAGGGTGATCCTCAGTGTTCTGTTTAAGCCGCATTCGTCCAATTAAACATAGTCAGTTGCCGTGGCGAAGCTGCCCCTTCTCTTTGCCCGTTTGCTTGAAGCCAACTTTATACTGTTCAAAATCAGAGCCGACAAATCCGGAGCCAACTTCAAGCAGCCCATCGGCGCGGCAAATATTGTTACAATGTGAGTGGGAGGTTGAAACTCGAGTGAATATAGAAGACCCAGGGGAGGTCCTGGATCAGAGAGTTGGACGACGTCGTACGACTTGCTTGAAGTTCTGATTTAAACAGGGCAGATGCCATCATGATTTTAGCATGCGTCGGACAGACGACGGCATTTCAATGCTGGAGCACCGGTCGAACATATAGGTGCTTATTATCGAAATTTGAAGTTTTGTGAAATATCAGGACAGCAATAAAAATCAATTCGAGTTGTAAGACTTTTTTGATGGTCGTGATTATGGCTAGTTAATTGTTTCCGCATACTATGGGTACCTCACAAAATATTGTGACAATCTTGACCGATTAGTGATTAATTTCCACGCACTATAAAACTCGAAGACGACGGTACCCAAGAAAGCTAGTGAAACAGACGACCTTCGATCAACATGATTCATTATCTGAATACATACCAGCGGTAGATGGCACTTACTTTTCTTCTTGTTCGACTTCTTAATGTGCTAGGACAACATGCAATGTCATGCGCGGGTGACTTAGCAATGTCATACGCGCCTTTTAGTAGCAGACCCCTGTTGAGGAAAGGACCCCCCTTTGTGGGAGTACAAGTACTAATGTACTGTGTAATAATGTGTCATACTAAAATACTGACACACCATGTTGCATGATAATGTAGTAGAAGCATATGATAGGTTGATGCGACTTGGCCATGCTGACTAGGATTACCTCAGAGAGCTGAGTGAATAAGTAATGGCCAAGGCCAAAGAAACAGTTGAGGTTTCTAGAGTAAATACAGCCGCATGGCAAAAGTTAATATAACCTCATTCTTACTGTAAGTAATATGTATTGAGTCTTGACATAGCAGTTCCTATGTCTAAAGAGCTGACCTAGCAGTACCTAGGCAGTTAGTCATTATATGCAGTTCCATATATGACCCATCCGTAGTTACAGCGACTGTTAAATATAAGGCATATGAGGGCCTCCTACAAAATGGTATCAGAACTGAAAATGCCGAGAGAGGGATCGATCCCCCCGACCTCTCGATTGCTAGCTGAGCGCTCTCATCACTGAGCTACCTCGGCAATTGGATGTCAATTCACCCAACACTTACATCTAACTCCGACCAGTGAAGAGTGAAGAGTGCTCACCTCTCTCCCCCGGAAATGGTGAGGATCGTCTCCCTCACCACCTCACTCAGTGTGTGGTGCCCCACACAACGGCCTCGGGTACCGAACTGGGGTCATCGAGAACGTTGCTGGACTTACGGTGTTACACCCATTGCGCACTGGAACACCAGCCAAACCTCAACGAGATGTTCACGCGTTAACACGACCGTTCGAAGAACATTCTCGTCCAAACGGTATCAGAACTGAAAATGCCGAGAGAGGGATCGATCCCCCGACCTCTCGATTACTAGCTGAGCGCTCTCACCACTGAGCTACCTCGGCAATTGGATGTCAATTCACCCAACAATTACATCGAACTCCGACCAGTGAAGAGTGCTCACCTCTCCCCGAAAATGGTATCAGTGTGCTACGCACCACCACCACCACCGCTTCCACAAACTTTTTCTGCTTTCGAATTATAACTTTTCCGATGAATTTATGTGTGCTTTTGGGCTTCGGATGGTATTTGGGATCTCGAGCTGCCAGTTTGTTACGGGTACCCGGGGCCAGCCCTGACCAGCGAAGTTGTTTGCGACCTCTAACAATTCGATGACGCGAACAGCCAGCATAAATTGTCTGCGTATTGATGTGTACTAAACCGTATTCCTTCTTCCACGCGTTGTATAATGATGATTTCATCTGGGGACTACGCAAGCAGGCGCTTTTAGCTACTAGGTGGAGAGACCACCTCCAGCGCCAGACTGGCCGACTGCTGCGACTTGGTCAACCTGGCGGCGAGGCGGAGGCGTTGCTGCGAGAGGGCGCATGGCTGCCCCCTAGCCACACGGACCTGTTAGGCTCGCAGGCTCTCGACGTTGTGGCCAGGTCGCCCGATGCGGGGATGTGGTGCGGTGTCCCTGATGCGGCAGGCGCAGGACAAAACCGCCCAAGCATTTCGTGGAAGTAAGTATGTGAAAATGCTTGCAGAGAAAGACAAACTTGTATATATTACTATGGATATGCATACGCGATATGTCTTGGAATCGGAGCAAACGGTGTAGGAGGGCGCGAATATGGGTGGCAGCACGAAACGGCGCCCCAATCCCACAAGCTTTAACGGTATGAATATCTACACCCCGAAACGTGTGTACAAAAGACATGTGATTGTGCTGCTGTGAGACTTCGCGTCAAGGAAGGGTTTACGTGTGTCTTACTAGATTGTTTGGTGACAGGGACGCATATCGGGGAAGGGTTATTGAACGTCACGCTCGTGCGGGATCAACGATCGTGGCTATTTGGGGTGTTATGTACGACTCTCCACATTACGCTGCTTGCAGTGAGCGTTTTTTTGGCGTTGTGTGGCTCCGACGCTGCCTACAATCCGGGACCGAATTGGGATATTCCTCCCGTTCTTATAGACTTGTTACCCCTTCTCGTAGAGGTTGGAGATTCCGCTCGCATTATACCTCTTGGAGTGTGGCCCCTGAAAGATGATGATATGGATACGCTTGAGACGTTGGTGGGGAAGATAGATTTGTTGTGCGAGGCCTGGACATCAGCAAAAGGACAAGGTGATGTTAATCACGCTCACTCAGAGGAGGTTTGTGACGATGTGGAAATGTCAGACGAGTTGGAAGGTGGGCATGAGGAAACTTACGAACGTCCTAGAGGTCAATTGCCGCAAGTAAGTGACGGTTTTGAGGAGTTGACGCGCGGGAATAAGGGTTGGTGGGTCGAGAAGATGCGAACGGCATTTGGGAGAAGCCCTCACCGCATTGCGGGTGCGGTGAGGGCGTATATCGAGTCCCTTCCGGCGGGCTTGAGTTCGAAGGTGCACAAGGAGTGCAATGCGGCATTGGTGTCGTTAGGTGACCGGCGCGAGGAGACAGTGAAGAATTGTGTTGTGGCGAATTTGAGGGACGCGTTATCACGCTTAGCACGACGAAACACACGTGCGAACGTTAGTCTAACGAGGGGGATAGCGGCTGCGGCATTTGGGAGCAACTTGGCCGAGGATAACTTGGTGCGTACGGCTTGCACGATGCTTGGTGTGCATCAACGCGTTGGAACGCTTGGGGTGGTCGGAAATTCAAACTTGAGGGAGGGGGCACACATGGGAACTGAGGAGAGAGGGCGGCGTGGCCTTTGGGAGGGCGTGATGCTTGCGGAACGGAGATTGTCTACCCGATGCTTGACAATGGCGACTTGTGCTCTTATTAGAGCTTTTTGGTTGCACCCGGACAACACTCGAGTTAGTCCTTGCAAAAAGGACGTCGTGTTGGCACGTGACCCCAACACCGGTGCTTTGAGAACACCGAGGGAGTTCGTGAGCAAACATTGGTTGGAAGCCTCTCAACTAGTAATATATAGGAGGTTTCAAGCCAAGTACCCCGCTCTCAAGATTGGGCAACGTTCCTTTGAGAAGCAAGGGGTGTGCAAGCCGCACAATGTTGTGCGGCTGCGAAGGAAGGACAACATATCTTGTTGTTGTAGGTACCACGAAGACATGAGAATGGTCCTTGAGGGCTTTGACAAGGCCCGAGAGGCGGTGCATTCACCATGTGCGTGCACTTCGGCGACATGTTGCCCACGGGTTCGAAGGACACCTGAGCATAGGCGAAAGGCGGTGGGGAACACGGGAATGGTTTGCACTATTGCAAAGGCGGGGAGGTCGACATCAACTTTCGCCGAGAGCTTGTTGTGTCCGCGGGTGGGGGATAAGCATGCCATGGAGTGCTTGAGAGGGAGGTGCGAGAAGTGTGGCGGCTTGGCCAACTTCAAAGTGTGTGACAGTGAGGTGCAGCATGAGGCGCAAGTGCCGTGGTCTTGTTACGAGACTTGCGGCACAGGACAGATGGACGAGGATGGTAAGGAGATTCGGCGACTGCAGTTTGTGCAGAAGAAGACGAAGCTGGCCGCCTTGATCGCCAAGTTGCAGGCGCTGTTGCTGGGGCACGAGCCGGGGGCTTCGCCAAACTGTCAGTGCAAGGGGAACTTCTTAGTGAATAGCGCGACCGCAGGGCAACCGGAGGCATGGGCGTGGAAGAAGTTGGAAGGCTGCGGGGATTGCGCGTTTCTGCGGCCATATGCATATCACACTTTCATGGCATTACACCAGCAGCGGCAGTTTCAGACGTGCGTCAGGGATTTGCCACTGGGACATGCGGTGTTCTTGTTTGACTTCTCGGAGAATCATTCATTGAACATTCCTCGAGAAGTGCAAAGTCTGCATTGGGTGGTGAAGCAGGCGACCATATTAGTCTGCGTGGTGTGGAGACATGCGTGTATGGCCGTGGATGGGGTGGAATCAACCGCGGAGAACCCAGTGCTGGTGAAGGATTACGTGTACTTGTTGAGCGATGACCGGAAGCACGATCACCGCTTCATTCAGTACATGCGGGAGTTGATCATCAGAGACTACTTCATCGGGAGGGGGATCGCAAAGCCCTTGTTTATCCACGAGTGGGCAGATGGTTGTGCGGGACAAAATAAGTGCGCGGCAGGGTTTGCGGATGTGGCGAATAGCAAATACGAGTGGTCATTAGGTGTACCTTGCCAACGGAACTTCTTTGAGACGGCGCATGCCAAGGGGGAGCAGGATGGGGCGGGGGCGCATGTCAAGCACGCAGCGGCGGTGGCGGTCATATCGGAGGGTGACAAGTGGTATGCCCGCATCAATTGCGCTGCAGACCTGCATGCGTTCTGTTGCGAGAGATTGAGCCGACGTGCGGATAGCAGTTACGCCAAGGCAAGAGCGAGCTTCAATCAACGGTTTTTTTACTTGGTACCAGAGGACGCACTGCACGAGGAGGCGGGAGGATTGCATGCGGTGGATCACAATGCTGGTGCAGCATACCAGGCGGTGGATGGGACGCAGCGCTTGCATTCTGTAAGGGGGGGAGGGCGAGGGGAAGTTGATGGTACGTGAGCGTACATGCTATTGTGTGAATTGTTATGCGGAGTGTGTGCGCTCCATTCCGGACTCGGAGGGATGCTTGGAGACGTCCCACGTGGATGCGTGGAGAGATGTGGAGTTGCGGCCGGCTACGGGCGCGGCCGCCGTGAGGATTCGCGGCATGGTGGAGGAGTATGCGGCGGGTGTGAGTGTAGCCGTGCGGCGTGGTAGCATCATGGCGGTGAAGAAGGATCCTACGGACGCATCACATGCCTACTACTTGGTGAAGGCGCTGTCTGGTGTCACGGAGGTCGGCGGGAGGATCCGCCGTGATGACTATAGACAGACATTTGCTCCTGGAGACTCGGTGATTTCGGGGAGATACTTTGAGTGGACGGATCCAAACGTGCGAGATACATACACCTTAGATACTAGCAAGAAGTGCTTGATTCCGTGTGAAGCCGTACTAGCATGTGATGTTCGCCTAGTTAAGAGGGGGGATGTGCACATGCTACCCCTGAGGGAGCATCGGCGGTTGTTGGCACTTCTGTGAGATTCTAGTGTTATGTAGATGTATATATTGTATATATTGTAGATACGGCCATGTTGCGGTGTATATTGTTATGACTTGTACATACTTCGAATAACTTCTCCGTATCACGTGCTACATCTCACGCACCCGCAATATATGCAATTTCTGCTTTGCAGCCCTTTTTACAAACGAAATTAGCTCCCCAGCACCCCGTGAATATGACCCGATGTGAAATTTCGCTTCTCATTGCCTAGGTATGACCTCTAAATACTTCTCACAACTTCTAATAACTTCTCCGTATCATTTGCATATCTCACGCGCCCACGAGACATGCATTTTCTGTTTTGCAGTCAGTTTACAGACGAAATTAGCCCCCAACGCCCCGTGAATGTGACCCGATGTGAAATATCACTTCTCGATGCCTAGTAATAACTTCTAGATACTTCTCACAACTTCTAATAACTTCACCGTATCATTTGCATATCTCACGCGCCCACGAGACATGCATTTTCTGTTTTGCAGTCAGTTTACAGACGAAATTAGCTCCCC